CACCAAGTGTTCATATCATGCAATGACAGGCACAATAAAGGATAAAAACAGTAAGGACCTAACAGAGGCAGAAGAGATTAAGAAGAGTTGGCAAGAATACACCGAAGAACTGTAAAAAAAAGGTTTTGAAAGTGAAAGTGAAGTAGCTCAGTCATGTCTGACTCTTTGTGACACCACGGACTGTATAGCCTACCAGGCACCTCCATCCATGGAATTTTCCAGGCAAGAGTACTGGAGTGGGTTGCCATTTCCTTCTCCAAGGGATCTTCCTGCCCCAGGGATCGAACCTGGGTCTCCCACCTTGCAGGCAGGCACTTTACCATCTGAATCACCAGGGAAGCCCTGACCTGCATAACCACAGGGGCATGGTCCTTCACCTAGAGTCAGACATCCTGGGGTGTGAAGTCAAGTGGGGGTTAGGAGGCATTACTGCAAACAAAGCTAGTGAAGGTGATAGAACTCCTGCTGAAATTTCAAAACCTAAAAGATAATACTGTTAAAAGTGCTGCACTCAATATGTCAGCAAATTCGAAAAACTCAGCAGTGGCCACAGGACTGGAAAAGGTCAGTTTTCATTCCAATCTGAAAAAAAGGCAATGCCAAAGAAAGTTCAAACTACTTTCCAGTTGCACTCAACTCACATACTAGCAAGGTTATACTTAAAATCTTTCAAGCCAGGCTTCAGAAGCATGTGAACTGGGCACTTCCAGAAGTACAAACTGGGTTTAGAAAATGCAGAGGAACCAGAGATCAAATTGCCAACATCTATAGAATCATAGATAAAGCAAGGGAATTCCAGAAAAACATCTGCTTCATTGACTACGATAAAGCCTTTTACTGTATGGATCACAACAAACTGTGGAAAATTCTTAAAGAGATGGGAATACCAGTCCATCTTACCTGTCTCCTGAGAAACCTGTGTGCAGGTAAAGAAGCTACAGTTAGAACCTTACATGGAACAACTGACTGGTTTAAAATTGGGAAAGTAGTATGACAAGGCTGTATATTGCCACCCTGTTTATTTAACTGATATGTTGAGTGCATCATGCAAAATGCCAGTATGGATGAAGCACAGCTGGAATCAAGATTGCTAGGAGAAATCAACAACCTCAGACATGCAGAAGATACTACCCTAATAGCAGAAAGCGAAGAGGAATTAAAGAGCCTCTTAATGAGGATGGAGGAGGGAAGTGAAAACGCTGGTTTAAAACTCAACATTCAAAAAACCAAGATCATGGCAATTGACTCTATCACTTCATGGCAAATAGAAGGGGAAAAAGTGGAAGCAGTAACAGATTTTATTTTCTTGGGCTCCAAAATCAGTGCAGATTGTGACCGCAACCATGAAATTTTCTTCCACGCTTCCTCCTTGGAAGAAAAGCTATGACAAACATAAGCAGCATATTAAAAAGCAGACTCATCACTTTGCCAACAAAAGTGTATATAGTCGAAGGTATGATTTTTCCAGTAGTCACGGACGGATGTGAGAGTTGGACCATAAAGAAGGCTGAGTGCCAAAGAATTGATGCTTTTGAATTGTGTGGACTCTTGAGAGTCCCTTGGACAGCAATGAGATCAAATTAGTCAATCCTAAAGGAAATCAACCTGAATATTCAATGGAATGACTGATGCTGAAGCTGACATGCCAATACTTTGGCCATCTGATGTCAACAGCCGACTCATTGGCAAAGACTGATGCTAGGAAAGATTAAAGGCAAAAGGAGAAGGGGGCAGCAGAGAATTAGATGGTTTGGTAGTATTACCAACTCAATGGACAGGAATTTGAGCAAACTTTAGGAGATAGTGAGGGAAAGGAAAGACTGGCATGCTACAGTCCATGGGGTCACAAGGAGTAGGATTCAACTTAGTGACAGAAATTGCTTTGTGATGAGCAAAATAATAATGTTATTGGTTGTTTAGTCACTAAGTTGTGTCAGACTCTTGTGATCCCACAGACTGTAGCCTGCCAGGATCTTCTAGCCATGAGATTTCCCAGGCAAGAATACTGGAGTACAGTGCCGTTTCCTCCTTCAGATACTGACCTAGGGATCAAACCCACATCTCCTGCATTGTAGGCTGATTCTTTACCTCTGAGTCACCAGTGAAGCCCCAGAATAATAACGGGTTTCTTAAAAAAAAGGTCTATCCATCTCTATGGAATGGAGACTATCGTGTTTATTTGAAACTGATGTCAGACATACACTTGATTTATGACATATATGCTTACATTTAGGTCTTTGTTGTTTCGTTTTGAATTTATTTACGTTGCTCCCCCTCTCTCCCCCTCCTCTTTTTGTCTCTTTTGGTCTTAGTGCGGTGTAATTTTAGTCTAGGGAAAAGTAAGATGTGTCTTTTATCCCCCTCTATTACTAACCTTTCATATCTTATGTTAAAACTTTGGTTTATGCTTTGTCTTCTCTGTTTGGATTATTCATGTATAGTCAGAATTTGTCTTTTGCTATAATCCTACATCATAACATTAAATAATTTCTTTACTATTTCCATAAACTAATATGTAGCAAACAAAATCCAGTTATCCATCAGAAGATATACTAAGAATTAAAAAATTAGAAATACTTAATTGAGTTTGTCCATATTAGAACATGAGAAACGTATAGAAAATTTTACTGTGGAAATTCACTTAGGTCCCTATTTTGTACTGAATATCTATAAGGATGATTTTCTTAGAAAATAACTCAAGAACTTGTTTTCCAAATATGCCAGTTCAGATTCAGTAAAAGAGAAAAAGGGGGCTATCAATAAAGAAAAGATTTATTTTCTAATCCATAGTGTGCAAGTCCCCGAGCTTAAAAGCAAAATATTTTGTTAACTCTTGCTAATATTAAACTATACTAAAATTTAAAGTAAAATTTAAAGTGCTATTTATGTGATTTACCTTTTATGCTTGATTTATTGCAGGCAGATTCTTTACCCTCTGAACCACCAAGGAAGCCCTCATGGATAATATTTTATTGTAAACCAAGAGCTAGTAACTGTCTTCATACACTATGCAAAACTCTGTTAACTTAGGTACTTCTTTGAAATTCTGGGCATGGATTCTTAAAGAAATGCATGGCTTGCAAACTTAACCTAAAAAAAAAAATCCTGATTTCAAGCGCTGACGGATTTATTAGTAGACAAAACTTGTCTACTCAGTTTAAAAAAAAAAAAGGGACGAAAGTTGGACCAATACTGAATTAAAGGAGGTGAAAATATTATATATGCCCTGCCCCCTCCCCCAAATCACCGCAGCAAGTTGTAAATGATGTATGAAATGACAAAGCCCTGCCCAATGCACGGGACGAATATAAATACTGCTCTGAAATCACCACTGTGAGGTACTATTTGCTAGAATTTTCTGCATAGCTGAACCCAGGAAGACCTCACCTCATCTACAAATCCAAAAAAGAAATGAACTGAAAACAATTCTATTATTTTATTCTATGCAACACTCTCCTCCTTCCTTTTTCTTAGCCATAACATTCATTGACTATTAAAATACTTAAGTATTGCTGAGGAGTTTAATAATTTTTTATTTTTTAACAAAGGAAATATCAAAACATATATTAAATGGAAAACCATAAAGGGTTTCCATTCCAGAGTCAACTAGACCCTGGGTCTGACCGCTAGTTTTGTTGAATCCTGGGTTTGACTCTACTGCCTGATTTTGTACATGCTTTAAACTTCTTTGAACTTCCATCTTTTTCCTTTGTAAAATGGAGATGATATGGACACACAGTTTGAAGGTTAAGTGAAATAACCTAAGCCACTGAAATCACTGGCATGATATTGGACAATGTAGTTAGTTGTAAAGTTTGGGTCAATTTTTTCTTCTCTTTTCATAATGGAGGCACATATCCTAGCATGGAAGGAAGATTGCATTTTGAACTGGAAGTCTTGGGTTTTAATTTTTAACTCAGTTTATTAGACACTTCACTTGACTTTTCTGAAGACATCTTAGATATTTTTCTTCTGAAAATAGATGTTGATTATATCCTATGAGAAAAATATATGATAATATAGACTTTAAAATGTTAAGTAAGGGCAAAGTGGTACAAATTAACATATCTGAGTCAAAAATATGTATACAGATATAGTATTCAGGTTTCTAGGAATCTGTTCTTCAGGGATGCAATGAACTACACTATTTTATTCTAAAATGTTATCATGAGAATTTTCTTTGGTCAGTTTCTTCAAGGGCATATTTATTAGAAATACCTCATAATAAATTGCAAGATGTCCTCAGGATGCAGAGGTTATGAATGAGTGTACCAGAATTGGACTCCAAGACACTTGACTTTGCATTTCTAAATCAAGCAGCAATTTGATTTTTTCTATCTTGGTTCTCCATATCATTCAGACGCCCTAATTCATTATGGAAATTGATGTTTGAGTATCTACCCCATGCCAGACTAGCTTTTCTCTTTACATATACAAATGCAAGTCACCTTTGGAAGAATGCAGACCTAAGTCCCAGTACATTTCAAACATTAACTAATAATTTTGGAAATTTTTAGAATCTTCTCCCAGGAGACAATGTTGTAGAAAGCAAACTGAGGCATAAGAATCACCCCATGCTACTGATGAGAATCCACATGAAAGTTCTTCTCTCAAATGAAGTGACATTCCTACTCAAAGGGCTAGCTTCATATGCATAAAAATTAGGTGCTCGCCAGAGGAAAATACTTTTCAAAATCTAATTTAATTCATTTAATACAACCATGAAGCAAAGAAAATGAAAGATGTCAAGGAAAAGAGAAAATATACTTCAACCAATAATAGGTTTCATTTCCTACTAGGAAAAAAAAAGTGTTCAGTAAGATTTGAAAAGAGAATGAGGCCAATTCATTTTGATCCTGTGGCAATACTTTGAAGCTTACTTTCTAACCTGGTCTATTTTACATTTCCAGATGCTATGAAAGGTAATGTATGAAGAAAGCAACACCAGTGGGGATTTGGGTATTTCGTTTTCCCCACTGCAGTGATGATTTGGATCTTACTTTTTCTGAAAGCATCTTTAAAGAATTCTTCAAGCTGTCTGGAGAATGCTGGCTTGCAGAATTAAGCAGTAGGTCTGCATGGGTTGCTATCAGAGGTTGTAGTTGATTGATGTTGCTGAGAACTTCTTTTGCTTTGGCTGTGTTTTCAGGTGAATAGTAAATAAACTGGTATCCAGTACTGCAACAACAAAGATAAAGGCGAATTACACAACAAGCAGAAAGAACTGTCAGCACTTAGTACCAGATGCTAAGTGATAAACAGAACTCCTAATAGCACTACTTCCTATTGAACAGATAAGAATTATTCTAAGAGATTTTTGTGATATTCTGAGTTTTCTCAAGTCAAATGACCAAGATATTTTGAAAGACTAAATGAAATGATTCTAGTCCTTGCTTAAGCACTAAGAAGATTTTTCATTATTACATATGTCAAGAATTAGCATTCAAAACAAATTTAATTACTAATGAACCTGAAGTCACACAGTACAGAGAGAAGAGTATAAAGATATTTAGGCCATTATGGACACAGATACTGGCTCTTACACTTGGTAGGCCACGTGATCTTAGGGTGACCTTCGTTTCCTCATCAGGAGAGTGGGAATAATAAACCAAACAGTTCTAAGAGGTGGGTAAGGTCAGCCATCATTCATGTGAAATGCCTAAAACAGTGCATGACACAGAGCAAGCATTTAATAACTACCATGTATATTTTCCCCATGATAGTTAGGGCAGAGGGCACAAATTCTAATAGCTGAGAAATAGGAAGAATATAAATTAAGGCCAAGTGAGCATATGGAGAATTTTGTTGTATAGAAAAGGGACATTGATGACATAAAAATTCCATTATGTTATTTTTTTCACCACTCTTTTTGTTCACCTTGCAGTTTTCTCATTTGACTTGCAAAAATATCTAAAACTGACTACAAATGAAAGAAGTACTGACTTTTATAATCATGTTTTAAGAATTGGATAAGCACATTATGGGGGTAAGATTTCCATCAAATGATGAAGTCTTTGTCCAGTTGCATTAAGAAAGATGAAGGAGACATTCCAGCAAAACTTCAAAGAAAAAGAAGAGTGGCCACGGTTGGTACATTTACATGGTGGGTGCAATACTTGGTTATATTTTATATCCAACCATCAGTGCTTTTTTTCATTATACCATTGAAACTAAGTCTTCCTAAAACAAAGTTCCGTTACAGAGTTTACGATTCCTATCTCTATTCAAAATTTGATACCCATTCTTGTCCTCTTTGACCTCAATATTGTGCTTATCAACCAGTCAGTTGATTAAAATTGCTGTTGTCTGTACCACTGTCAACATACTATAATTGTTGCTGTAGATATTATCATTAACTTACAAACTCAGGTTGTTTCTCCAGGGCATGATGAACTAACAGGCTCAAGTTATGGACCACCTGGCCCGAGAATCATAAACCAGAGATACCCTGGACTCCCAAAACTATGATTATCCTGGCCCTTTCTTCTTCCTGGCCCTTTCTTTTTATTATCCTGGCCCTTTCTTCTTCCCCTTTAAAAAAAAAGTCCCAAACTCAAAGACCAAGATGGAGTGGCTCTGAGGCTTGCCTGCCACTTCCTCCTTGGTGTTCGGCAATAAATCCTTACTTTGCTGTCAGAGTTGAGTTTGGCTTTATGACCCATGGGCACATAAACCCTTCGCTGGATTTCACCTTGCAACCCCTGTTGAGTATATTAAATATTCTCTTTACATTTACCAGCTCAATTATTAACATTCCCATAATTTCATTTTTATTCTATTCTTTTTTCCATTTTAAAAAATTTATTTATTTTTGTAATTGAAGGATAATTGCTTTACAGAATTGCATTGGTTTCTACCAAACATCAACATGAATCAGCTATAGCTATGTTGGAATATAGTTGATTAACAATGTTGTGACAGTATCAGATACACAGCAAAGCGACTCAGCCTTACATCTATACGTACCCATTCTCCCCCAAATTCCCCTCCCATCCAGGCTGCCACATAACATTAGCAGAGTTCCTGTGCTATACAGTAGGTCCTCATAATTCTTTCCATTTCCTATTTCAAAATATTAGCATCCAATAAGAAAAATTAACATCTAGGAAGAACTCTCCCTTCCCTTTACACTAATGATTTGCAGAACAAAGTATCTGTTTCTTTAGGGAGACAATACAATAAATCTATTATTTTATTTACTTTTTTCACTTTTATTTAAAATGTCCTTGGTTGCTTGGACTATTTGGGAGACAGGACAAGAAGCTCAGTGAAGGATATAGGTTTATAAAGGCTAAGAAACATGATGAGAATTTGCTCTTAATTTCGTACTCAAAGTTTTTTTTTTTTTTACATTTCAGAAGCAGGAGTTTAAAAATAAAGCACACCACTTATTTTAATGCAAACCGAAGCAGATGACAAGTAACAACAGTTAGAAAGAGAGAGAAAACAATAGTCCCTGACAATTATCTCTCTTTCTGGTTCTTCTGATCTCCTGGGAGACTGTGCTGAGGCCTTTAACAAAAATCATGAACTGGAATGTCCTCCTACTCACCTGTACTCAGACTGTACACAAAATTAAATTCACCAGTCATCAGTAAATCAAACAACTCTGTGTTATTACTGCAAAAAAAATTATTATCTAAAGATATTGACATACCCACTCAGTTCATACCTACTACTAAATATAGAATAGAAAACCAACAGGGACCTACTGTATAACACAGGGAACTATTCTTAATATTTTCTAATAACCTATAAGGGAAAAGAATCTGAAAAAGAATGTGTGTGTGTAAACGAATCACTTTGATGTACAGTGAAAAAAGTAACATAACATTGTAAATCAACTGTACTTCAATGAAGAAAATACACAAAGTTACTGATGTGTCACCAGGGTGGGGATGATGTTTAACACCCAGCATTTTTGAGAGCCGAGAATAGGACTTATTAAGGACCATATACAGAAAGCAGCCTGTGGGGGCTGCTCCGTGGTCCATTTTAACTGATCTGCTCTTCTATTGCTTTCTGGTTTCATCTTATGGGGATGGACAGGTCTCCCCTGGCTTAGCTCAGGAAAGCCAGTGTGGTCTTCCCACCTTATCTTCACAGAGCTGTCCTCTTTCTGAGTGTCTCAGTCCTGGCCTCTCACGTGTTCACTCCCATGCACTCTTTTACTATTATTATTATTATTTGCTTATTTATTTGACTGAGCCAAGGCTTAGTTGTGGCACGCGGGATCTTCGATCTTCACTGTGGCATGTGGAATCTGTAACAGTGCCTTGACCCGGGATGGAACCCAGGCCCTCTGCACTGGGAGCAAGAAGCCTCACCCACTGGACCGCCAGGGAAGTCCCAGTCCATGCCCTCTCTTTGACCTCCGTCGCCATGACCTTCCTCCCTGACTCATGCCATACTTCCCTGGCAGTTCACTGTTACTTTATTTCTGAACATTTTTCCATTTTCGTTATTTTACCTACACATTTCTTACTCTGCAAATTCCCTGAGAGTCTCCTCTCCACTGGAGAGAATACACTGTCAAGATTTATTTCTTGCATATTCTTTCCTTAGAGTCTAGTTCAGTGGTGCTCAAATTTTAACAGGCATGATTCACTTGAGGATGATGTCAGGGCCCGGGTATTTATAATCAAGAAAGCAGGTGCCCTGGCAACACCAACAGATTCTGCTGCAGTGGGTTGCAGCTTTCCTAACAAGCACCTTGGGGAATCCTGATGCAGGTAAACAGTGAAGCACATTTTAGAGACACGCACTGCCACTGTTTTGGAAGTTGTCCTCTACACCTCTGGTCACACTACACAATGACTCTGATCAAAGTTCCTTCTCTAAGGCAACTTCTGTGCATCTACTTTACGCTCACAGTCTGTTCAACATTAGTCTTATTTTTACTTATTGTTTTAAAAATTGAAGTAGAGTGGATTTACAATGTTAATTTCTGCTCTACAGCAAAGTGATTCAGTTACATATAGGCATATACTTTTTCATATTCTTTTCCACTATGATTTATCATAGGATTGAATATAGTTCCCTGTGCTACAGTAAGACCCTGTGGTTTACCCATTCTATATGTACTGGTTTGCAGTTACTAACTCCAAACCCCCATTCTACCTGTCGCCTCCACCTCCTTGGCAACCACAAGTGGTTACCAGTTAACAGTGGTTAAGACCTGATTTCTAGGTCTGTGAGTCTGTTTCTGTTGCCTATATTCAGCACAAATTGCTTTGGTTCCCTTCTCATTATGAGTGTTGGTCCCACCAAACTTTTTCATCACCCCTTCATCTTTTCCATCCCAATATATTCCCACCTTCTTCCTCTCCGTCCCTAATGCATTCTTCAATCACCACCCCATCATGGGGCATAACCGTAACTCCTGTCCCAGGCTCCTGAGTCAGTTTCTATTTGAACAGAGTTGTGTAGTAGGCATTGATTCTCCTGGTTAAGCCTTTTAATGATGAGCATCTTACCTAGTAAGGCCGAAAGACTCATTTTCCACAATAAAAGCCAATGTTGGTGTCCAATTTGAAATAGTATGGTATGAAAAAAAATTACAACCCACAAAATAAATTTAAGTGTACATAAATCTCATCTACCTATTCATAGACTTACTCTTTACACATGTTATTTATTTTAACAGTTAAAGCTTTTAAAATGGAAAGTTATGAGTATAATTTAATTATTAAGATAAAAAGAATATAGCTAAATTCTATTTTATAGTGGTCTGAAATTTAAACTGAATCCAAACACTTGAATCAACTATCAATCAGACAAAGATGAAATATTTGCTTGGACAAAAAATATTGAATAGGATATAAATATTATAGCAAATCATGGGTAAAATATTTGAAAGTAGTATCATAATAGTTTTCTATTGATGAAATAGTAAATTAAAGTATACAGATGGATGTATATACAATATACACTTTGATTTAATATATATTTACTTAAATTATTTAATACCCTATTAATTAGCATACATACATATACATACTCAAATGTTCATGTTATTAGAGGTAGGTATAATTTTTGAGGTATAAACAAAAATAAAGCACACAGTAAAATAATATTCATATTTACAAACATTAATTGATAACTGAAATATGATTAAAACAATGATGTATGTTTTTGTGTGTATCCCAGCACAGTCACTTCTCGTTGGTCCTTCTTAT